AGAACAAAAAAGCATGTTCAAGTCTTGAAAGATAATGAATGACTGAGGAACTGTTCCAGACTGAAGGAGACTGAAGAGATAGGACAGGGTAAGCGCAGTGTAACATTCTGGATTAAGTTCTTTCTCTGTTAAAGACACCATTTGGACAGTCAGTGAAACCTGAATAGGGTTCTCTGGCTGTTTTCACTTTTTTATAAGTTTGGAATTATTTCAAAACAAAAAGTAAGAGAAAAAAGGTACAAATTTTGGGGGTGCCTGCCTGGCTCAGTCAGTGGAGCATGCAACTCTTGATCTCGCCCCACAGCCCCACTTTGGGTGTAGAGCTTACTTCAAAACAAAAGTGGTGGTGGGCGGGGGGGTTGAATTTTTGAAAAGAAGTGATCTAAAATTTAATTTAAAAATAAACTTCTCGAATAGTAAATACATGCAAAAATGTTCATTCCTTCTGGCAACGAAATGTAAATTAAAGCAGTGTTAAGGTATCATTTTAGTCCTGACGGATTTTTATTGTAATCATCTGTTTATCTATATGTTGGTTTGCTTTATAATATGATAGCTAGAAAGGGTTTCTTATTTTGTTTTCTAAGCGCTGTTACATAAAGTGATTCATAAGCTCATACTAAAGGGGCGCCTGGGTGGCTCAGATGGTTAAGCGTCTGCCTTCGGCTCAGGTCATGATCCCAGCGTCCTGGGATCAAGCCCCACATCGGGCTCCTGGCTCAGTGAGGAGCCTGCTTCTCCCTCTCCCTCTGCCTCTCCCCCTGCTCATGCTATCTCTCTCTCTGTATCTCAAATGAATCTTTAAAAAAAAAAAAAACTCTATAAAGAAGATTCAATTATTTTCTCTACTTGACAGAAGCAACTGGGGCTTTGGGACTTAAGCAGCTTGTCTGAAATTACATAGCCTGCCTTTGGTGGTAGTGGGGTGTGAACCCCGGCAGCCTGACTCGCATGCCTTTTACCTCTATGATATACTGCTTCGCATATGCATCCAGGGCTGAGGTACCCAAACCTGGTACAATCCTTCCGAAGAACAATGAGGCCAAGCCATCCCTAGAGTCACCAAATCCTCCTGCCCACTAATAAATTGCTGAGAATGTATCTTAAGGAAACCTATATGCAGAAAAGCAAAAGCTACATGCATAAAGATGTTCTCCGTAATGGAAATTTTTAAAAAAAAATATTTTATTTATTTGACAGAGAGAGAGTGAGAGCACAAGCCGGGAGACAGAGGGAGAGGGAGAAGCAGGTTCCTCGCTGAGCAGGGAGCCCGACATGGAACTCGATCCCAGTACCCTGGGATCATGACCCGAGCCAAAGGCAGCCACTTAACCAACTGAGCCACTCAGGCGCCCCCATAATGGAAATTTTTTAAATGACTAATAGAAAAATGGCTAAATTAGTTGTGAACCATCAACTTGATGGAATATTCTACAGTCATTTAAAAATGATAACTATGGAGATATAATGAAAGGTAGGGAAATATTAATAAGTTAAAAGACTCAAAGTATGTGTATACTTGGAAATATGTTAATAATTGCATGTGCATAAAAGTGACAAATTAAAAAGAAAATTCGGGCGCCTGGGTGGCTCAGTTGGTTGGGCGACTGCCTTCGGCTCAGGTCATGATCCTGGAGTCCTGGGATTGAGCCCCACATCAGGCTCCCTGCTTGGCGGGGAGTCTGCTTCTCCCTCTGAAACTCCCCCCGCCTCATGCTGTCTCTCTCTCTCTCTCAAATAAATAAATAAAATCTTAAAAAAAAAAAAA